AGAGAGAGAGAGAGAGAGAGAGAGAGAGAGAGAGAGAGAGAGAGAGAGAGATGGCTCTGGGACTCATCTGCAGACAGATGACAACTGGCCACATGGGAGCTGATGAGGGCACTGAGAGAGGGCATGTGCAGAGAAGAGGGCTGAGGACTGAGCCTGGAGGTACATCCACAGTGAGTGGGCATGACTCAGAAGGCAGCTTTCCCAAGAATGAAGGAAGGAGTGGGGGAAGGGAGGGTGGATACCTGCATTAAACCCTGTAAAGAGACAAAAAGAATGAGGATTTTGACTCTGAAATGGTCACTTGATTTAACCTTTAAGTGATGATAGGTGACCTTGGAGAGAGCAGGTGGAGTTCAATGATGGCGTCTACAGCCAGATTCCAAGGGATTGGGCAGTGAGTGAGAGGACAGGAAATGGGCATGAGTGGAGACAGATTTTTCTACGAGGCTGACTATAAAAGAAAGGCGAGATAGAGGATGAGAGCTGAAGGCCTTGGTAGGGTCAAGTGAAAGCATTTTTAAGGGTCATGGGGACCCTGGAATATTGGAAGGCTGCTGAGAAAGAGCTAACAGATAGAAATGGAGGATGAAAGGGGGGCATTGATTGAAAGGGTCTTAGGAAACACCAGCACAAAGATGGAAGAAAGAACAGGAAGTCGCTGTCAGATAATGGATGATGGTGGCAGAGCACTTGGGGGTGCTAAGGAGATCAAGGGTGTGGCTCAGGATCCCCCTTCTCCAGGGCCACCCCACCCCCAGAGGCCCAGGCTTACCCTCTCCTCAGCTCTGTGCTCGGGGACTCAGCCTTCCCAGGAGTCCTTTCTGTGAACCCCCATCTTTTTTATTTTTTTTGCTTTTTTTGGTGAGGCAATCAGAGTTAAGTGACTTGCCCAGGGTCACACAGCTAGTAAGTATCAAGTGTCTGAGGCTGGATTTGAATTCAGGTCCTCCTGACTCTAAGGCTAGAGCTCTATCCACTGCACCACCTCGCTGCCCCTGTGAACCCCCCTTAAAGCACTGCCTCTTCCCCCGAGATTTCTAAAGGACCAATAAAATGAGATGAGTCCTTCACCCCCAGACATCCCTCAGACTCTCCTTTGGTCTCAGGCTCTCTCTAAGACTGGCTGTGGCTCCCTGCCTGTCTCTACTTCCTCCATCTCGGTAAGATTTAATAATCAGTAGGCGTGAATTCCCAGTGAACAGGGACTGACTCTTCTCTAAACTGTGTTTCTCTCCCAACAGGACTAGAAAGGTGAGGAGTCTTGGGGCAGGCTTATGGCTCCCGGGAGTCTCAGCGGAGAACATGGGTGACCATGCTGGCCTTCAGAAGCAGCAGAGGTCCTCCCAACAGGGGGACCCAGGTTTCTGTACTCAGTCTTCAAAAGGATTAAAGGATATTTCTTTTTCTAGGTGGCTGCCTCTGCCAGAGCCCCTCCATTTCTAAGCCCCAGGCCTCCCCTCTTTTTTTTTTTCCCTAGGCCATTGGGGTTAAGTGATTTGCCCAGGGTCACACAGCTAGTAAGTGTCAATTGTCTGGTTTGAGGCCGGATTTGAACTCAGGTCTTCCTGGATCCAGGGCTGGTGCTCTATCCAGGCCTCCCCTCTTGACCTCAGAATGTTGGTGGCAAGTGATCTAAGGGTGGGGTCTGGCCCTAGGCACTCCCATTGGAGGGAGCAGGGACCTCTTGGTGCTGTCCTCGGTTCTGAATTCAGGGCAGCCATACCAAACTCAGCCCAGGCACCCCCAACTCCCCAGAGAAAGAAATATTGCTGTGTCCTACCCAGGTGATCTGACATTCTGGTCCCCAAGCATCAGATCAGAGGTAGGAGTACTGATTTAATAAATTAGAGGCATGATATGTACAGGTTGTATTAGAGGATGAGGCTGCAGGAGGAGCTCACGAGCCTTCCTCATCCCTTGGGGAGGGCAGGACTCAGCCCCTCAGAGATCTCCCCAAATCCCCCTCACATAATTTGATGTCAAGGAGGGACCCAGACATCTGGATCCTCTGCCCCTCCCCATCCAGAACCCAGGTGCTCCCACCCCCAGCTCCTGATTATTCTGAGATCTTGGGGTCTCATGGGGGAGAGCATCATGGATCCTGAACCCCAGGAAGCATGGGCTCTTCTCTGAAACCAATCTCCTGCTCATAGGCCTGGATGGCTTCCATGTTCTCATACAGGACACCTTCTTGGTCTCTGCAATCTTCCCCACCGTCCTGGGACAGCTGCAGAGACCTCAGGAGGGTCTGGTACAGAAATATGTACTGTCCCTGGAGAAGTGGGGGAAAGGAGATGGGTGAGTAGGCTTTTAAGCTTCAGGACAGAAGGCCAGTCCATACCCTCCCCAGCTTGCAGAAAGGGAGATAGGCCCAGACCAATGAAGTGACTTGCCTAAAGTCACATGGCTAGGAAATGACAGAGCCAGGATTTGAACGTGGGGCACGTGACTCGACGTCCAGTTCCCACCAACCTTGTCCTGAGATCTCTGTACCCACTGACCCTTCCCTGGCCTGGCCTGACCCTGACCTCAGTCTGCACCATCAGTGGGCGGCTCCTCCTCATCTTTCTGATGAAAGACTGGACCCCAACCTGCTGGTATTTCTGCAGTTGCCTCAGCAGGACATCCAGGGCAATGAGAGTCCCCGTGCGACCTACGCCCGCACTGGTGAGAGGAGAAGATGGAAGAAGAGCCTTCCCCCAGGGGCTCATGGGGTCATGGGCAGCACCCCAATGCTCCTGAGGGGGGGCCAGGGCCAGGGCCAGGGGCTTACCTGCAATGTACAATTGGAGGGCCCCCCCCTAGGCTCTGGTCCAGCCAATTCCGGAGCAGTGCTCGGAAAGCCAGCAGGGGGTCTGGGGACCCAGGAACCCCGTGGTCTGGCCAGACCGTGTAGTGGAACTGGCGCACAAACAGGCCTTCGTTCAGCTCCATCTAGGGGAAGAGAAGGGTCAGGAGCCCCAATGGGGACGGGGGAGGGACAGGAATTTGGGGCTGCAAGGGCCTTTTGGAAGTCATTTAGTCTAACTGGGAGGCCTGGAGACAGAAGGAGCTCCAAGATGAGGCCATTTGGGTAGAAGGAAGCGAAGGCCACATGGGAATCCAAGTTCTTGGACTCCAGGACCGTCCATCTTCCAACAGTCCCACACCACCTTTGATGCGGAGCTCTCAGAGGCTGTGAGGAGGGGAGGCTATGGGAGAAGTTCTGGGAGGGAGACTCTGGAGAAGTGGGACAGTCTCTGAGGTGAGGTCAACCCCAGCTGAGGGAGAGGAGTGGGCTGGTCAGGAGATGCCTGAGTCTGACGCTGCTGAGCAGGGTTGAGATGTTTGAGGGGGCTGGATTAGTCTGGAAGGGGATACTGGCCTGTCTGGGCTCAGCTGGGAAGGCAGCAGATAGAGCCCTGAGTCTGGAATTAAGAAGACCTGGGTTCAAATCCAGCCTGACACTTCCTTACTGTGTGACCCTGGGCGAGTCACTTAACCACCATCTACTTCATTTTCCTCAGCTTTAAAATGAGGATACTAACTGCACCTACTTTCCAGGGTTGTTGGGATAAGCAATTAAGATGGTGTTTGTAAAGCAGGGAGTGATTGGTTAGTTTGGGGTATTTGGGGTCACCACGGGTGGCCAGGGAACCCTGGAGGTATTTGGCAATTACGGGGCCTCCAGAGAACACCGGCTTGCGGGTCCCTTCCAACTCTCCAGTTTAGGGATTCCATCTTGGGGCTGGTCATGGGGACTCACTGAATTGCTGTGGGGTACTTAGCGGTGACAGAGTCAATCTGGCTGTGGCTGTGGGTCCCTGAAAGGTGACTGAGGTGGTCAAGGGAAGCTGAGTGCTCTGGGTGGGAGGGGCACAGAATCTAGAAAGGTGAGGAGTCTTGGGGCAGGCTTATGGCTCCCGGGAGTCTCAGGGGAGAACATGGGTGACCGTGTTGGCCTTCAGAAGCAGCAGAGGTCCTGAGAGGGACAGCTGGGGGCCTGAAAAGGACTGGGGTCTCTGGGTCCATACATGAAACAGATGCAAGTCTCGAACAGTCCAATGTTCAGCCACATTTTCCCATTTCAGAGTCACCCGCAGGTGCCCATGGCTGCAAGGTTTGGCATCCAAGGGCCAGTAATGTTCACATTTGACCTGGGAAAGAGAGAGTAGTACCCAGAGGTGGGTAATATGTGAATCCCATAGCCAGAGCTGGGCTCAAGCAGAGCCTCTATTCATCCCCAGCCCTGTACTAACCCCATTAACCTAGGAGAGGATGCGCTCACTGAGAGTGCCTAAGGTGTGTTTGAGGAAGGAATAACAAGGACCCTCCCCGAGCCCAGGGAAGTTTCAAGGAATCCCCCAAGATCCGGGTCTGGCAGCAGCAACAGCGGTCTGGCTTCCTTCTCGACCAAAGACAGAGAGCCAAGGACAGAGCTAGAGAAAAGGGGAGGCACAGAGACATGTAGGGGGACAAGGAGAGAAAGGGAGAGGGAGAGAGAGATGGAAAGAGAAGAGACAGAAGGGAGATGGACGGAGGGAGACAGAGGGAAGCAGGAAAGAGTTGGAGGGAGACGAGAAATGAGGGAGGGTTAAGGGAAAGATGAAGGGAGACAAAGAAAGGGAGGGGCGGGGGAAGGACTAAGACACACAGAGGGAGAGGGACAGGGAAAAAGAGAAGAGACAGAGGGAGGCAGGGGAGAGATGGAGGCAGACAAAGACAGAGAAGGGAAGGGAAGGGGAGGGATGGAGGCAGACAAAGACATCGAAATGGAGACTGCTGGGGAAGAGGGTGAAGAGGGTGAAGAGGGATGAGCAGGTGAAGGGCCGGAGAACTCGGGGTCTGGGATGGAGAGGGAAACGGAGCTGAGGGTGGGGAGGAGTGGGGCCCGGGAGGTCTGGAGCTCACCCGCCCGCCCTCCACGCAGTTGGTCAACATGACAACAGTGCGGCTTTGCTGATCCCACACCAGGCGCCAGAAGTCGCTCACCGTCTGGGGGAGTGGCCCCTGGGTAGCTATGTACTCCTGGGGCCCAACGAGACCCTGGAATGGGATGGAGTGGGCGGAGTCCATGGGGGGTCACATCCACCCCATCTCCTGGGGCCCAGCTTTGACTTAAGCCTCCCGCCACCCACTCACCCCTACCCTGTTTTGCGCGCCCCTCCCCCACCGTGTCCGCTCACTGGAACGAAGCTGGCATTGATGTAGTCAGAGCTGGGATCCCCTGGGATGGGCTGCAGGGGTACTCGGGACCAGTCATCTGAAGTGGGGAGGAGGAGGTGGGTCCAGGAAATGCAAAAACAGGAAGAAACCGGCAATGAAAGACCGAGAAGGGACTCAAGATAGAGCCCAGCAGAGGAGAGACACAGGGGGATTGGGGGGAGGGGGACAGTCTGTGCCTCAAGGAGGGAGGAAGCAGCATCCTTGGGCCTCTCAGGGTGGGGTGGGGAGGCAGAGGAAGAGGGGAGTACTGTATCTGCTTCTCCCAGGGAGAGGTGGGGATGGGGCATCTCTGCCTCCCACAGAGCGTCAGGGGCCAAGGGCATAGACAGGAGGGCCCCATCCGTCCCGGGGAGCCGCAAGAGGAGAGCAGGATCTCTGGCTCTCCTTGGGGTGGGGTGGGGGT